AAATATCGCATGAAATCAATCAACATGCTTGTAGCAAACGGTACATCACAGCACAAGAAAATATTTTGTAGTTCGATTCACTTACTGTCACATGTGCAGCAAGATCTACTTACCCTTCCGGGGCAGCCAAGATCACCCCCGGTTTTCTGGCTGAGTTAGTTTTGCTCAGACTTTAGTTTTCTATGTTGTGTTTTGTGGACTGTAGACCGTTTTTTGTTATGGCGTTGTCAGTTTGTTTTTGATTTAACACTAGAACAAAATGTGCACAATTATATTTGCGATGAGTAAAGTTTATTAAGATGCATATATTTGCGATGAGTTTAGTGACAGGCATACACTTCTTTGGGAGTTGTAGGTGGTAGTCTCATCAAATTTAATGAGGTTTTGCTATTGGATTCCCCAAATATTCTGAGTATAAGGGGGGAAAGCGATTACTTATAACTAATCAACTTGTTCCGGATTTGTTGTGCACAGACAGTTCAGAAAGATTTAAACAAACGAAAGATGAAACGGCGATCGTACTACTTAATTACCAGCACATTGAAGATAAAACTTTTTTTTAATACCAAATAGAAGATTGTATATGGTTAAATACACTCACATAATGGTTACCATTACACAAAGACCTTTTCATTACAAACTAAGAGCAAATAATTAAACAATGGTCACAAATACGTTCTGACATATTCGACCTGTTTTCGGTTTTTTTTTATTAAAATATGCCATGGTACTGTCAGGAACTCAGTAACAATTCTTATATTATGAAAATCGCTAGTAAAAAAGTTGAACTAAAACGAACATTATGATCGTAATTCAATAAAAGACTGCATTACCAATTAAGTAGATCATGTTGAGAGAATATTCTGACATTATTATTGAAGTTAATTCCATTGTTTGGACATGTTGCTTGCGGTCAATTAAAATCATTTAGATCTATTGATATTTCTGATTGTTCAATTATTGTAGCTGATATACACTTTTGTAAATAATGTCTGAACAGTGAACGAAGTAAAATGTACCATGTTGACTGCAAGGAAATGTTCGAAAGTGCTGGGTCGATCGCTTTGAAAATACATGAGAAATAACAACTTCTACTAGCAATTACAATTTTGATGATCTGCCATTCCGTTGGTATTGAGATCAAAATGGCTATTTCAAACTGAAACTAGCTAGCTTATGATTTAGTTCACTAAGCTCCTAAGTTGCCAAATATATATTCATTAATACCGCTTACCACAAGTATATTAGAAAAAAATGTTTCTCTGAAACTATAACGTTGCGTTGCCTGTGTTTAAGAACAGGATTAAAATATATGGTAATGCAGAGTCAGGTGTATAGAATTCCTTTCTGACAAACAAAAGATTATATTAAAAGAACTATCAAAAAGTTTATTCTTAGATTATTTAGTGTTAACAGGAATTTTCAAAATTGCCTTGGACAAAAATTTGTTCTATAAACAATCAAGTGAGTAGCGTTGCACGTGTACATTTCATAAACATTAATTGAAAGGCTCGACATTAATTATGTATAATTTCAGTGTATTACTTGAAACGAGAGTAAGTAATTGTCAGCTTAAAAAGTGAATTTTCTTCAATTATGCATCGATGTTTCAAAAACGAAAATATGTACATTTTAAAACGGAATGAACTTTTATCTTCTTCCGTTATCTAATTATGAGAACAGAAAACTAAGAGCTAAACCATAGGTTGATTTGGCATTTTCTAATTAAACTTGAGTGATAAAATTCCAAGACTTTGGGAGTGAAAAATTATGATTTATGTATGGAGCAGACTTTTATATTTCCTTTGTAGTGGTAAAAAAAAATACCAGGCTTATAACTTTTTACGCCAGACGCAAAATTGTGAACAAACGTTTGGCTGAACATTTTTCTATAACGTCTACTGTTTTCAAAGCATTACCATTTTGCTAGTTTCTCTTTTCTGAAACCGCAGTAGTTTGAAAGTATTATAAAAAGTAAAACAAAACTAATGTCAGTGCAGATAATGACAATATTCAAAGACCTTATTTCAATGTTAAATTGATAAGCTTATTCAAATGAATAATAACTTTACATGGATTTTATCTAAATGTACGAAATTTATAAAAAAAAATAGGATGCTATATTCCATGTGTATTGACATGAAATATAATTTTAATACTTGGATTTTCTATAAATATTTATTAAATTTTAAGATCCTTGGAATTACTAAGGTAAGCCTTAGTCAGGTTTGGCCATTTTTATTATTTTGTTTTGTGTACAATGCTCTTCAAGTTCATAATAGAGTTGACCTTCAAGTTGTTTTATTCGGATGCTATTGGTAAGTTTTATGTAGACGAACCGGTATCTGGCATACTTAATTTAAAGCCTTGTATTATTGACAAGTGTTTCGTTATAAGATATACTTACATGTTCAGCCAAATTTCTGTATATTTGACCATCCTAGGATACCTACTACAATACATAAAGGAAGCAAACAGTTTCATGTGTGGTTGAGGAGCTGCAGAGGGTTATATTATTTTAACTACGGATCCAAAAATTTAATGGATATCTGCAGTTTATCGGAGCAAATATCTTCCTTTTTTTATTCCATTACCGGTCGTTTCATATATTAGATTTTTTTAGCATATTTGTTTCAAACATTTATTCAACGAGAGTAGGATTAATTACAGCATTACAATAAATTGGCTGAACATGTCAGAATATAGATGAGAGTGTAGGCAGTTGTCGTTGCGACGCAATTTTATCTTTTAATTGCATTGGCATATCATCTTATATGATAAATGGAAAACTGTAATTTTGAATCATTTTTAGTAAATAATCTATTATAGCAGATAAAATCGTACATTGTTTAGAGTTTAATTTATTTATTATTGTCGTGATTTCATTTGTATCATTCTTTTGAAAACGCGTTCCTAGAAATCCTCCACATTTGATATGACTACAATTTTCCGATCATTTCCTTTTAGATTAACGAATGATGTCATTTAAATTGATATAAGGCAACAGATAAATATTAATTCAATGTTGAAATATTAAAGTTAAAAGCTTTTGTCACATAAGAATAGAAGATAATCATGGTGGACATTACATAAGTCATTATATTAACATTGAATCGGTACTCATACTGAAGTACTAACAGTCTAGACACCAAAACGTTGCATCCACCCAGCAACCACTACCTCAATTCTGATTCACGATTTAAGTGATTATAAATTTTGATATCGTACCGTACCTAGAGAAGATATTTAACCGACATACTTGTCATGCGCACTAAAAATCGGAAATATGCGTTTGTAACCATTTAAATTGGAAGGTAGATACAAAACTTCAAACAGTGACAAAAAAAAACCGAAATGAAGTAGCTATTGTGGTAAGCATAAAGAGAAACAGCATCCAAACGAAGCAAAAAATAACAAGAAACATAAACATACGGTCTTAAAAATCAGAAAAGCGTCCATACAATATGACAAGCTGTAAATCGCCCCTACTATAAACAAGTTGAGAAAAGACAACCACAGCGTCAATGAAAGACTTTTACCATAAACGCCTAGTTCCTCCAAATGACAATGAGGACTAAGATATAACAAAGGACAACTACTGACGATATTTACATAATTCCTTATCATTGATATCTCAAGCTTCGAATTGCTATCTAGCCGCCTTAATTCTGAAGCATAAAAGAATTCGTGTAAGCTTCAAACCCGACAAGATTAATATGATTTACATGTATTGTTTATTTTGAACTTTTTTTATACATTCCATTTCGGGAATTGTTGGACTCCCAAAATGAAAAATATCATTTACTTATAGCCCGACAACCGGTGTGAGTAATGGAGTTTCTCAAACTTATGCTTATTTCGTAGATGATAATTATTTGTATATTTTTTATTTCAAAACATATTAACGGTTCATGGGAAATATTTTAGAGGGACTATATGCAAATGTGTAATGTGAAGGATTGTAAAATAACAGATAACATTTAGTGTCAAATAAATCTGACTGCAAAAAGAAACAGACAGATTGATGTTTTATCTCATAGTATTTTGTCAAACATTTTCAGGGCGGGGATATAGGAACGGATTGCATGTTAGGGTTATGATGATATAGCTTTGTATGTCTATATTATATAATATATAATTCGTCTCATATATATACAACCTACAAGAAATGTATTTCAAGTATTCGATGTAGTAATTACAGGTTTTTTTGTACATGATGGATATAACTTATACCAAATACCACATATGATATAATGCATATCAAAGAACTGTGTGGCATAATAAGCTAACGTTTATCAGGGAATTTGTTGCTATGATATGAATAGTGATCTGGAAACCTTATATTCAAATAATATTTAAAAAAGAGAAAATCTACGTTTGACATGTTTAATAAACCACAGGAATTATATGCGTAAAAATGTATTACTAGAACCAGATTCATGGTCGCAAGCAATTCCAAAAGAGAATTCTTCTGAACAAAATTTAAGGCATAACCAGGTGATGAAAGATCAACAAATAATATCCTAAATACAAGGCATAACCAGGTGATGAAAGATCAACAAATAATATCCTAAATACAAGTCATCCACAAATCATTAGTAGTTATCAAAAGTTATAAAAAAAAACACATTGAAATATAGTCCTTACCCTTCAATTGTTTTTTGATGTACAGGTACTAGGGGAAGTCATAGTACTATAGCAGAACCTGTCACTACAAAGATTTAGTTTTATTTATTATTTATAATTTTTCAATTATTGTATAGAAAAAGGCGATAAATAATTTAATGTTGCATGAAGTACGTAAATTCATAAATCTGACAGCTTTTATATTCAAATATAACTACCCATCGATTTGCAACACTCATTCAATGTAGAAATGCATTTTTGAAACGAGATAAATATTCTGAAACAACCAATCAAAAATGCCGTGCATGTCAAATTAACATGATGAATAGTAGAAATAGTAAAACATACTAAACGGCTTCCTCATAACACACAAACTTCGACACGCAATATTTTATTTGTAACATAGCTTAGTTTCATATTATATCGCTGATCAAACGAAAGTTATATTAGTATTTGTGTTAACGTGTAAAATTACTGAAAACTGTAACTAATCATCTCCTATATGATTTTTGATCTGTAAAATCATGGGTCAATAATACAAATAAATGTAAATGAATGAGACCTAAGGCAAACGTAGTATCACTGCGAAATACTATTCAAATGGGACAATCTAAACTGTGTTTTAAAACAATGGATATTTATGATTCTCCGTTTTGAAGAATTTAAAGCTGTAACGATAAAACTACGGTAAGATTTTTTTTTTATTTACAATTGCTTTTATTTGTACATTTTAAACTTGACTTTTCATGTAGATTTCCTTGTAGCTGACACAGTTTGACATAATGTATCTTGATTACCGCGCTATGATAAGATATTGCGTGTTTGACCACCCATTTTATGCTCTTGTATTGTTCCGACTATGTTAGAAAAATTTGAACCTGTCATACAAGATATCTACATTGAGAGGGTCTCCATACCGTTATAAATAATGATCCGACCGAAAAAGTAGATCAGGAAAATAACAATTTCATCAAGATATTATCTACTTTTCAAATATTAATATATATCTCGTAGGACTTCATGAAATAACTTGAAGGCAGCAATTCGATAATCGCTGTCACACTGATATATGAAATGATATACAAAACAATGTTATTAATTGATTATACATCTGTAATAATGATTGCTTGTTTAGTGTATATAAACAATATAGACACTTAACTTGATTCATCTCATTCAATTGCAAGTATGTGACGAAAAAACTGGATACAAAAAGAATTTACAATTTCGCTTTCTCTATACAGAAAGAAGGGAATATATATTTATCACATATTCTCATATTTATTTTATTCCTTTTAGTTTTATAACTCATTTTTGAATCTGACAGTTTTTGTTTTAACCTGTTCCATTCTACAGACTGAAACATGCTTTTAAAAGATACTTTCAGACCTATGCAGTAGAATAAAACTAAGCCCTCGCCGTAGTTAGCGGCTTACGGTAGAATATTCACAATGATCATAGGAAAGTTAAGCATGTTAAGGGCGTAAAATTGAATATTTTATATTATCTTTGAAGTATATTAAGTCAGTTAAGAATTAATTATCTTTATATTGAGTTGTGGCAACAAAGACAAATTGCAATTTCAGCAGAGATATCAATCAACGTAAAAGAGATACATTATAAAGACGCTATACCAAAATCTAAGAGTGCTTAAATTGGCACCATGAGGAGGGCGAGAAAAAAAGTTTGATAGCGACAACGATATCATATATGTAACCACATTTGATTTGAACCCTGTTTGCTTTTTTGTGATTGAATCTGAGGTCGTCCTCAATATGTGAACTACATTTAACGTAACAATATTGTTGAAAGCTTACGTTAGAAATGATAATAACAACACACATTTTTCCAATCACTAATTTTGTAACATGTAACACCATGGATACATCAATTCTTTCCTGAAATTCGTTAATACAAAGGGAATAAAATTTTTATTCCGATGGTTAGGGGACGACCATTTGAGTTTCTAGAGGGGGCAGGAGGATTTGAAAATGAAGATATTCTGCAACACAAAATGCAGGCTACAAATGTGTACAAAATTGAAAATAGATAAGCATGCGTAGCAACAGATGAAAATAAATTATCAATTCGGGGAAAAAATCCTCCTGAAATCCCCCCCCCCCCCCCCCCCTGAATACGAAATGGTCGTCCCATAAGAAAAATGTTCTAAACACTCTGTGCTCAAGAAAACATTGACATTTCTATCTGATAAAAGTAATAATCTTAAATATTTTATATGTAATAATGTCCTTGAACCAACGAGACGCGACTAACATACAATTTATTCAGAATTACTGTAGAGTTCAGTAATTAAAGATTCTCGGCTAATTGATCGTAGGTATAAAATGTTGATAAACAACAATTAATCTTCGTTAAGAAAATATCAAGAGTAAACAATTTGACAAATACCTTCTTATATTATACATGTACTTTATCAGACTGCATTGCATCTATTAGCTTAAATCATGTTTTTACATATGAGAAAATCTCAAGAAGATTACTCAGAAACACGCTAAACCGAGAAATAATAGCGAGATGCTTAAGTGGGCTAATTTTGCGATTAAGATAAAGTTGCGAAAATGTCCCCTCGTGCAACTTTGATCATTGAATATCCATTGCCACTATCAAAGCTTTCTTTGACAAAGGAAACTCGTTCAATTTTTGAAGGGTTTTTGATAGTGACAGCCCTACAAGAAAAACGTTGATCAAAAACTTTGACGAGAATTAACCAATCATAGTGTGAGATGAGATCCAGTAAGAGTTTAAGGAAATTGCTATGAAGGAATAAAATGATAGACAAATGCATTGAACTTATTTCGATCAGTGGTTCAATGTTACCAAGAAGCAGGTATAATGTGAGCATTCTAAAAAAATATTCATCAATTCGACCTAGTCCTCCCGTGAAGTTCTTAAAGGAGAATATTAGAGGTACTTCTTTGTTATCTACTTACACCAGTTTATTGTCCCCTTTCTCCTTACACTTGTATAGGATTTCTTAAAATGGTAATACATATAATACACAGTGAAAGTGTAATGCAGTCATTGTGTGAGAGGTTTATTAGGACCATTGTTCTCTTTGTAAAAAATGAACTCTTTTCATTTCTTTGACCAAAGTTTTGATGAAAAACTTTGATAACGACAAAAGATGACTTTAGACAAGTTTTCTTTGACCAAGTTGTCTTTGACCAAGTTTTCTTTAACTAAAAAATCAGGGATAATGGAAACGCAAAAAGAAAACCTGGCGAACATGTTCGGCCTTTGAAATGGCGACATTAAAAAAAAATCGGCTTTAACTGCGTTTCTTAAAACAAAATGTCCACAATTGCCTATCCTACCACTTATAAAAATCATTGATCTGCCATTGAATTTTAAAATTATAGACTACAAAATAGTTAGATGACTCAGGACGACACGCATGTCCCCGCCTTTGGCCTTTCACCTTTCATAGCCCCATGAAAAGTAGTTAATTCGAATCGAAATAGTAACACAACCTCAATCTTTTAAATGCATTATTGGCTCGCTATCTTCAGACATACCGATAAAAAGTTCGAGTAACTGTTGGAAGGATGCACAGATATAATGACAGACATGGACGGGACATACAAAAGTTCATAGATATTGAATAAGAAAGAGTAAGTCTAGGTAAACTTGCAAACATAGTTGTGTTTGTTTGCGTTATCAGAGGCTACCAAAATGTGATCTTTTATCTATTGCGTTTTTGTAGAAGTGTCGGACAAGATCGTAATCATTTGATTTATTTCCCCCTGATACTAGTAACCATTATAAATGCACTTAGCTTTACAAAATATTTGTTTTATTGATTTGAACAGTCGTTTTTTAAAGTTTACGTATATCTTTTTGACTCAACAACTGGTTTTATTTATGATTTTGTCCGATGTAATAGTTTTAATCGTAGTGATATGAAGTGATTGAACGTATCATACTATAGATTCATTACTAAAAGTCACTTTAAGACGAATTCGCTATCCAATGTCATGTGGCGATCATAGTAACTCGTACTGATCCAATATAGATATACATATATTTAAACTATTAATGTAATGTGTTCTGGATTGGATCACAAATTGTTGATGAGGCAGTTATAGGCATACGAGTTGAGTTCAAGGATGTTTTATTTCATAACCTCTGTACGATGAATATTAATGCAAGGTCATTGATATGCGGTATCGTTTTATATATATCATTAAAGATATTTCAGCTCCCCCATGGACTACTTTTAGATTTTAAGTAGCTTTCAGTCTGGCATGTGAATTCTGAACCGACCGTTTCTGTTGCAAGACGGCCGTCATAGTATTTGAGGTTATGTTCATCACACATGCAGTATTGGACAAAACATAAATATTGAGGGTATGCGTAGACTTATGTCTTAGAGTGTAGATGTTTTCTTGGTATTCATCAGAACAATAATAAATGTAGTGAATATGTAAATCATGATTTTAGACATAAAAATATTTTTTTACATCTGCCGTCATCAAGTTTTTGATAAAAATATTAATGGAAAATTTCAAAATCATAATTATAATTTCAAAGTATTTATATTTATCACACGACATTTCCTTTCTTTCAACAATTAACATAGAATTTATGTCAAAGAAATTATTTTCACGCAAATATTTACCAATTATACGGTAATGAAATATAAGGTCAACTGACGCCTCGACTGACGCTGTTTGGTTGGTATCACTAAAATCGAGCCAATTTGCTACCTGTAATTTGAGTCAGAGAAAATCTTTAATTTGAAATAAAATGTGGGGACAACTTCTGATAAGATGCAAAAGATAGTAAACACTAATATGAAAATGCATTTTCTTTGTATTAACGTAAATCCATAGTATCTAATCTTAATATTGTTGTAACTCCGTTTGCATTTTCAATGACTTAATTATATGTACCCTTGAAGCTTTTTATTCCATAGATCATGCAAGGGGTTGAGATCTCCAAAAAGCGAGATTAAATTACCTCGTCAAACTTTTTTGAGCCTTTTCCAAATCGGGAACGTTATTTGTTTTATCTTGTAGGTCTATGTATTTTTATCATTTTGAGGCATTCCATTGTAGGCGTCAATGGCATATCTTTATAGTTCCTCTTTATTCTTACACAACTAATTCTGTTCTCAGACGATTAAGACATCTATAAATTGTATAAATATTATAAAAATGATGTAGAAGTGTACATATGTGGTCCAAGGACACAGTTATCGTCCTCTACAAATATAGTCCCTAGTGTGAACAGTGTATAACTTGCATTTTTTTTTTGATACACTTTCCCAATTTATTTCTTGATATTTTATGCATGAAATATTAAGTAAGGGGATGAAATTACAAGTTAAAAAAATTTTGGTGCTGAATCTTTATGTTAAGTAGTGATTTGGTCCAGTTAAAAAAGGTCAAAAATTAGAATGTCTGAAGCTGTCAAACTGAATTTTAGCCCCCTTAACACAGAATTGTCAATATTTTGAGTTAGAGCTGGTAGAAGTTTCTATAATTTTGATATTATTTGTATCAATAGTAGTACACTACACTGTAAAAATCTTTTTGAAATAGAGCAGGTGCGATTTTTTTAATTTGAATTTATTGTCTAAAAGAAATGCACTACGAAATAACTGTGTTCTCGGGCCAAGTCAGTTTTCCTACCGAAGGGTCAGTTGTTCTCTCCGGGCACTCCGA